ATACTTTAGTATCGACCACCACTTTGTATTTTGTGTACTTAAAAATTTAAACGAAGAGAGCAGAATTTACATTTTTACATGAATGGAGTAGAATTTACATTTTTGTATTCTTGTATTTTTGTTTCTTTTATTTATAAAAATAATAAATAATTGTTTTTTTTTTATTTAATAAATTTCATGTTTTCCTTTTCCAAATCCTAAAATAATTGATTCCAAACAAAGCAGGCTTTCATATGACATCTTGTAGCCATTCCGTCAAAGTTTCTTTGGATGGATGAAATTTAATAACAAAAGAAAATGAAGTAAATGAAAATTTTAATATCCATTTGATTAGCATGAGATTTTTTTTATGAAAGTTAAAAAAAAATTACCATTTCATGGTTTGAAATATACGAAAAAAAGAATAAAAACCATCTGATTCTAACATAAAGGAAAAAATAATAGAGAGAGAGAAAAATCAAGAAAATAATTTTTACAAATTATTTAAAACTAAAATAACTTAAATTTTCAATTCAATGCATGATAAACTATTATCTTTTATTAAATATTAAAAATTATTTAAAACTAAAATAACTTAAATTTTCAATTCAATGCATGATAAACTATTATCTTTTATTAAATATTTCATGAAAACTAAGTCCTCGGATGAAGAGGGGACCCACTTGATTTAAGAGATAATTCCTAAAATGGTAGATTTTTCGGTCTTTATTGTTGGATCTGAACTTTCGACAATGAGCTGGGCTTCGTCGGCAGTCCAAATTAAGCTGTCGAGATCTGTGTAAAGTCACGAAGCTAATAAAGGGTTAAGCTGTCGTACCATTTTTTAGGGCGACTCAAGAGGCGCTTCTGTAGGCGCCAGATCCAATGTTAAGCAATAGAGGACTTTCTTCCCCCGCCTAAGATCCAAATCCTAGAGCATGATTTCTTTAGGGCATGTTCCATGATTTCTTTAGGGCATGTTTGACTCGTTGAGTTTAGTAATAAGAAATGTTTCTTATTTTTTGTTATTAACTTTTAAAAAGGTAAAACGAAAACAAAAATTACGTTCAATAAAATATTTTTATTTTTCTATAATAGAAAAGGTTTTTAATTTTTGTAAAGAAAAGAGAAAACATATATTTCTTATGTTTTCGGCATTGTAGCGCAGAAAACTAATATTACTGTACAGACACTATTCATTACAAATAAAATTCATATTATTTGTGTTATATATTAAGTTACATATTAAATGTTAATAAAAATATATATTTTTAATATAGAATAAATTAAATATTATATATTATTTTCTATTTGATAAAAATATATAATATTTAATTTATTATATATCATATATATATTATAATATATGTAAATATTAAATTATAATTAATTTACAATATTATAACACAATATATATTTTATTACATATAAGATATATTATTTAATATTTTTTATTCATAATAAATTATCTAAATATATTATATATCACATAATAAATGTATACATCATGCATATACATATATTTATATACATAATTGGTGGGAATGTTTTTGTCTTGATATATCTAATTTTGTACTTATGATGTATTGGGTATTTTTAAGATTTATAATTTTAAATTAGATTTTTTAGATTTATGACTATTTGATATTAATGGAAGCAAGTGTCGTGCATGAGTGGTTGGGTTGCTCTCTATGTCCGAAAGTTCGTGTTCAAGTCATTTACTCTCCTCCTCACCCTCTAATCAATAACTCCTAAAATTCTTGCCATGAAAAAAAAAATTAAAAATTAAAAAATTAAAGAATATTATGTACATTTTGTAAAAAATATGTTGTATTACTAAACACAGTTATTATTTTATATTTTCAAATTTGTGACAACAATAAGTGTTAATAAACATCATTTCTATTTTCAATTTTCACTCAAGAAAGCAAAATCATGTTTCTGCTTTCTTAAGACTGCAAAAGCAAAAAATGAAAACGTTACACACCTTAATAATATTTTTGCTTAGTGTTTTTTTTTTGTTACTAGTGTATTGTAACAAAACAAAATCACGAAGCATGTATAGTAACGTTTGCTGTCAATGAAATAATATCAAAACGCTTCCAAAATTGAGGCCAAAATAAAAAAATCGGAAGCATCAAAATGATGTTTTTGTTTGCTTCCGCACAATAGCAAACCACTATTCACTTTTTTTTTTTTTTTATTAGCTAGCCATTCAAATTTTCAAACATGTTTTCACGTTTTTGCTTCCAAAAATCTTATAACAAATTTACATTACCAAATAAGTTTTGAAATAGTATTGAACACACTCTAAAACGGAAACATTGCTTCTACTTCAGGGCAAAGCAAAAATATAAAATAATTGTGGTTGCCAAACGGACCCTTAGGCTGTGTTTGGTACGGTTGAAAGGAAAAGAAACAATAATATTAATTACGACTTACGAGGAAAAGAAGGAAAAAAAAAAATGACAGTATAAAAATCATGTTTGAAAAAATAAAATAAAAGAAAATTATTTTAATAAATTTATTATCGTACCCTTTTTTTTTTTATAATAGTTAATTTCATTTTATAATTGTTTTTGCTTTCAAGATCTTATAATTTTGTTCTTATCTAAAGGGTAAATTTAGTATTAGAAAGATGGCATTAGCCTATCCTTCTCTTTCCTCCCATTTTCCGGAAGATGTCAAAAGTTGCTATTTAAGCCTACTTTGTTTTTTCAAAACCATCCATTCCCTTTGTTTTCCTTCCAACTATTTATACTTAGCAAAAATTTTTTTTTTTTCACCCTACATTGCATTTCCTTTCTTAGGACCCGTCTGGAAGGTGTTGTGTTTTGTAGTGTTTTATTTTAGCCTAAAACATGATCAGTGTTTTGTAATGTGGTGTTGTGAAATAAGAACGAAACATATTTGACGACAAAAATTTGCGAAACATGTTTGGCGAGGTATTTCGTCTCAAGAAATATGAGGACAAAACATGTTTGGCAAGGTATTTGTGTTTTGTAGTGTTTTATTTTTAACTTTATTAAATATAAAGTAAAAAATAATTATTGTATACTTTTACTATACAATTGTGTAATGCTTTAAACAGATTAATTGTTACCAAACAAATTTAAAATTACTACTATATTTATAAAATTTGAAAGATAATGTATCATAAAAAAAAATATATACAGTATATGCATTTTTTTTTTTAATTTTTTATGCTGAATTTTTATTTTGAACTTACATTCTTAAAAATTCATATTTTGATTCAATTGAAGAAAGAGTAATTCTGTATTTTGTAGGGCACTGCCTTGTCACACGAGAATCAGTTTATATATATTCAACTATCAACACAAACAAAATCTGAATAATTTCCAGCAAACAATAGTCCCTAAAAATGAATCCTTCTCTTCTATCTTCAAATCTGAAAATTTTAGATCACATCCTTAGAGAAACATGAAACGCAGACATATATAATTATATATAATATATGCAAGAGGAATAAAACGAGGCTCAGATCTGCTTTAGATCAGATCAGACGAGAATGTGACACAACCATGGCTACAACAACAGTTGCCCTTGAGAATACAAAAAGCATCTCACAGACCATCCGAGTCACCCTGCCATGAAACGAGTCATCTTCTCGATCACTGATTTGCTCAGATATTTTTCATCATAGCCTTTTGCAAAACGACCATAAAAAATTTGAACAGAGCTTGGGGAGAATCTGGACAGAGAGAACAAAATACGAGAGTGGAGAGAGAGACGATGAAGAGAGAGCTCGCTGGACTTTCCAAAACATCGATTTGAAGTCTGACGGTGTGCACGAAAGCGTCGTCGATTTGAAGCACAAGATCACCACTGGAATGGCCTACCGAATCGCCCACCAGAGGGTAGAACAAACCCTACTTTTGTGTTACAACTTTACTTTATACCCATTCTGGGTTGGACCATTTTGTTCTTTCTGCTACAGTGATTTTTGTAGCCTAAAAAAACTTGGAACAAACTAGAACACCAAAATGGTGTTCCAACTTTAGGCCCAAAATGATGGAGTGTTATGGTACTGTTGAAAACAAAACAAGACAGTCCAAACATGTTTTGTTCTCAAAATGAGCTACTGTAACGGGCGTGGAGCATTACAATACACATGGAAACACTTCCCAAACTGGCCCTTAGTTTTCATAGGTTCGCCACTCTTAGCTTTTAGGTTTTCCATACCTAAACCTAGCACATCTCTTCACATCGGTGTACTTCTAAATTTTCTGCTTGGAATACAAAGAAAATACTTTATCTACCGCAGGTAGTATTGAGCTAATCAAGGCTGTTATCAATTGTATGCGTATATATTTAATTATGCATTATATTTGGTCAGGTCGAATAGATTAGAATCCATATCCAATTTATTAATTAAACATATTATCATATTTGAATTGTTAATAAATTATTGAATTAAATATTTAATTCACATTTGAGTTATGATTTAAGATCAAAATCCAAATCCGATATTTAATTCACATTTGAGTTATGATTTAAGATCAAAATCCAAATCCATAACGGATTAAGCAATTAGACGCTTAATTTTGAACGGATTAAATACTTATTTAATTAAGTAAATTTAATAAAACAATTTAAATCATTCAAAATAGTGGTGAAATGTAATATTAATGGTGATATTACTTTTTAAACTCCTTATTTATAAATGGCGATAAAATGTTACTTATAAATAGTAGTGTAATTGTCAGTCTTAATGTTGTTAATTAAAGTAAAACTTGGTCAAATATAAGTCAATTAACACTTACTGCAGGAGACTGTATCAAAATCACACAACAGAGGATTTGCACCCAGCATGTGAACACTGCATCAAAATATCCTTTAATCCTTTCACTCCGCATCAAGCAAATACAGTTGGCATCATAATAAATACACTAAAGTAGAATATACGAATTAACTAACCTCCGCAACAAGACTACATATTATTGGTCAAGTTTAAACCACAAACCGTCGAACACATTATCCATTTGATTCACACTTCTAGCTTAGAAAAATAATAATAATACATACCCGTCTCTCACTTTCTCATTCTTCAGTTTGAGCTTTGAAAATCCTTAAACTCTAATCTACTTACCAAGCTACCATGGAAGCTCTCAGAGCTTCACCTTTTTCTCCATCTCAGTTCACAATATTCTCACCAAGCCTTCCCAAACCCCAAATTGAGAGACCCATTTTGAATCTTCCCCTCAGTAAAAAACCCAATTCGTTTCTCTCATCAAATCCCAAAGTGGAATCGAAATTCAAGCTTTTCACCATCATTTCTCCTACAGTTTCAACTGAATTTGCAGACCCACCTGAAGAAGAAATCAGGATCAGCAACCAGGATGAGAAATTCGATTGGTTTTCGCAGTGGTATCCGGTAATGCCGGTTTGTGATCTGGACAAGAGGGTACCGCATGGGAAAAAAGTGATGGGTCTTGATGTTGTGGTGTGGTGGGACAGGAACGAGAATGCATGGAAGGTGTTTGATGATGCGTGTCCTCACAGGTTGGCTCCACTCTCTGAAGGGAGGATTGATCAGTGGGGCAGATTGCAGTGTGTGTACCATGGTTGGTGTTTTGGTGGCTCTGGTGACTGCAAATTCATTCCTCAGGCACCCCCAGACGGTCCACCGGTATTAATTCTTGAAAAAAAGAAAGAAAGGCCTGCTCGATTTAGTTTTATGAAAATAGATCTTAAGAACTAGGAAAACATAATACTGTTCGCAGAGAACCATAAAAACATGCAATCCTTAAACTATAACCAAACAAGTTTTTGTGCGGTTTTCGAATTTCAGTTATCTAAAAACAGAAAACTGAACCAAGCAGACTCTTTAAGACTTCCCTTTTTCTTATAGTATAACCAAATTGTTGCATGAGTTCAATGTCAGTTAGTATGGTTTTAGATTATATTTTCAGTGAATTTTGTCACATAAGCAAATTTCTCAAATATTTTTTGTTGCGTTTTTTTTTTTTTTTTTTGGTTATTGAACTCTGATTGTCTTGTGTTTAATGTTGTATCTTTGTCAGTCTTAAGCCAAAAGAACGAGGGGACAGTGATTGTTAGACATCTAATATGCACCTGCACCCTATGGACATGAATCCGACAAATTCTTGAGTTAAGTTTTAAAATATATATGTTAGAATGAGATGAATAGATATGTTAGAATTTAGTAAAAGAGATCCTTGGAGAAGTTGATGGGAATGGGTTGTGATCCAAAAGAAACTTGGCAGATAAATGAGGTGATTCAAATAGCAATTAATTGAACAAGAGCAGGGTTTTATAGCTTTAATGTATATAGTAATGATGAAAATTATAAAAGTTATGAAGGCCAAATGAACAAGCTAATAAGGGAATCTGAATTAAAGATTCTGCTTACTAATATACTAGTTCTGTTGGTAGGTATTTTTACACAAGTTAGATGCAAAGAATGGCGAAAAGGCCGTGTACAATTTGACTAGGATAAGGACAGGACAAGTGAGGACTGAAAACACATTAACTGCATCATAAGATTAGTGCCAAAGTTTCTGTGATGGAATTGAAATGAAAGAAAAGGTGGAAGAGTATTTCATAAACTGGTTAGTGCAAAACCATGAAGGAGATTAATCTGTAGAAAACTTAATAATTTCACTATTTTAATAAATTATGACTATTCTTGTAAAATAAGGTCCTTGGAAGTTGAATTTGCTTTGAGCTTAATGAACATTAGAAAGGCTGTAAGAATTTATGTCTTGCCATTGAAGTTTGCAGTGTATGGGCGATGATGCTATAGTCATTAAATTAAAAATAAATAAATAAAAAAAATAAACACAATGCAACTGAAAACCTTATAAGATCAATGAGTTGCAATAGTGTATATCAAATTTTAACCTCTACGAATGTTAAATGATTTCTCTTGATCTAGAGGTTTTGTTGTTTAGGATTAAGGATATGAAAACATTATATATTTGCATAACATCCAAAGAACGGAAAGAATTTGATTGTGGGTTGTAGCTGGTTTCCCATCAGTTAAGTCTATAGAGACTTCCACTTAGGTTCGTGCTTCATTAATTGTTCAAAGTAACTGTTGATTGGTGTGACTATTGTGAGATTTTGACGATCACATGCCTAAAATAAATGCTACTTACAACTTCAATTACCATAATGATAGAACAAGAATGGTTATACCAGTTATGTTTGAGTTTGGAATGTGCTATAAAAGGTAAAGAGTAATTGACCATGATGGGCTTGTTCCGAATACAAGATATCTTCTCTTACTATATCATGAAAAGATTAAAAAATAATTGTTTGTAAATGCAGCACTTCCACAATTTTAAAAACTGAGTTACAAGAATTAACTATGTTTGCACTTGATGTGCTATAGTCTTTTTCTTTTCATTTTTCCTTTAATAGTTTAGAAGTCCTTAAGTTTAAATTAAGTATCTCTAACATTTATGATTACTTGAATTAAGATAATGAAAGAAGTTTATGGGTTTTTGAATTTAGCATATCACAATGAAAGATATGATGTTTTGATTTGCGCGATGAACTTGCCGATAGTTTTGATACTATTGTTTTCTGGTTCATTGAACAGTATATAAATCCTGGATCTTTCTAAAGAAGTTGAGGATAAATCGATCTCAAAATGTTTATTCTCTCATAATTCTGTATCTAGCTTACTTTCAGAATATTTTGATAGTTCCTTATAAATCTAATTCAGATCAGCTTTTCCAACAAAACTTGTAGGTTCACACGTTCAAGAAAGCATGTGCAGCTGTATATCCTAGTACTGTGCAAAATAACATTGTTTGGTTTTGGCCAAACACTGATCCTCAATATAAAGATATCCTTATGAAGAAAAAACCCCCCTACTTCCCAGAATTGGATGATCCATCATTTACCAATACAATGGGAAACAGAGACATACCATACGGGTACGGAAAACATATTGCTAACAGCATTTTTCTTACATTTTTTTGTTTCAAAGAGAAGAGTAAATACTATCTTTTTTCTGCCTGAGAGAATAAAAAATAAGTAAGTAAAAAAAAAAAACTTTTCTTTTTGATGTTTGGATTTTCTCTGAATGGTTTGTTTGTTTGTTTGTTTGTTTGTTTGTTTTTTTTTTTTTTTTTTGTTCTGTTTGATGTTGAGGTTTCTTTTTCTGTTTGTTTCCAATCCAGATGCTTTGAGAGTTGTTTTGATTGTATTCTGTTGAATTTTGTTTGGCTTGGTTGCTGCCCTTGGTAGGCTTGCTTGTTGTCTTTTTAGACTTCTTGTTTGTTCTTTCTAGTTTAATGAACTCTTATTTACCAAAAAAAATAAAAAAGTTACTTGTTTGCTGGTTAATGCCAGAACAAAGGTAAGGAGAGAATTTAAACAAAAAAAAGGAAGATAATGGAAAAAGATACTGAAAGAATTGTGATCCTTGAATCATCGTGATGAATTTTGTCTTTCTTCATACAAAGTCTGAAGTTTCATTGAAACAATGGATGAGTGCCAAAAAGAATTTGTCAAGCCTTTGGACAATTTCAACGATCAATTTGTGCTCGAGTTCTTCTAAGTTAGCTAAAGTTAAATTTACAGGTACGAGGTTCTCATTGAAAATCTTATGGACCCTGCTCATGTTCCATATGCACATTATGGAATAATGCAAGTTCGACAACCCAAAAACAAAGTAAGAACTTTTATACAATCCCTTTTTCTCTGTTTTTTTGGGCAAGTAAGTTACACATGCACCTGTTTGTCCCAGTGGGGACTCTATCCCTCAATCTACTATTTGGAAGGAGGAGGAGTTACCACTTAGGCTAAGCCATTGGTGGTATATGGACATCTTTTTTAGTTATTATTTTCTCTTAATTTTTTGAGGTTCATATGGCCAAGACTGACTTCCCTTCACTGTTAAGGCCGATAGAGAAGGGGGCAGACCACTTGAAATGAGTGTACAGAAACTGGACAAAAATGGCTTTATTGGGAAGCAGGAGATAGGCGATAACATATTTATTGCACCTTGTATTTTTGAAGTTTCTGCCACTCTTGTGAAGGATCAAGGAAACAGATCTAGTTCATCATCTGGAACCAAAGAGGTAATCAGTTGCATATTTCATTACATCAAGTTGATCAATGGGAGTTCAAAATTTTTTAATTTTTTTTCATAAATGATCCATTTTATTTTGTTTTGTTTTTTGTACTTCATTTGATGTATTATACTTGGTTGGTTCAGGAACCATCATCACATGGGAAGCTGCAGAAATTTCTTCTAATTTTTATCTGTATACCGGTTAGTCCGGGTAACAGCAGATTGATATGGTGTTTTCCAAGAAACGTTGGGGTTTGGATTGATCAAGTTGTTCCACGTTGGATGTTCCATGTGGGACAAAATTTGATTCTAGATTCGGATTTATATCTTCTTCATGTTGAGGTAATTCCTATCTCTTTATTTTTTTTTTATAAATATGCAAGCTATTTGCTAACTTTTTGTATCATTTTTTCTAAGGTATATTGTTATACAACCAACTAAAGCTTAACAAATCAACCTACTAACATATTTGGGATTCGGGTTCATCAAGATAATTAGAACTGAGGGGTACTAATTGTTGATTTCTAATACAGAAATTGTTCAAGGCTAAATAAAAGTGGGTGTTTACCTTTTGTCAAATTATACTCTTAACTACATTTATCTGAATTTCGAAATATAACTAGATAAAAAAAAATTAAAAGTCTATTTGACTGAAAAAGAAGAAGATTAAATCAATCATATTGATAGTCATGCATAAGATTAATGCAATAAAGTAAATCAATCACACACTAAACACCAGTTTTTACATAAAAAAAGTCCAAACGGAAAAAACCACAGGACCCAGCCAGGCAGATAAAAAACCACCAAGTAGAAAATGGTTACAGACTAAGTTACCAAACTTTAATACCAAAAGTCGTACGCTAGAACAATCCCAGATCCTTCAGCTGTTGATCCATTGACAGACTCCGTTCTTCATAATCTCTCTTTCTCTATGGATCTTCTATCTCCTTGTGAGTAATGTCCAACTGTGTGTGCGCAGACTTTGTTGTTGAGATCCTTTAGAGCTGCAATTGATGCTTCAACAACTCACTGATCCATTCACCATGCTAGATATATGATGGGTACAAAAACACATACCCTAGTACCCAAAGGATGCTAGAGAACACAAGCAATATGAATGAAAAGCTTAAATGCAAAAGTATGTCCTAGAACTTGTGCTAGCTAACCTTTTTATTTTTCTGAATAATAGAGAATAGATTCAGAGAAAAGTAAGGTTTTAGAGTGTTACAATTTAGAAAGGAAATTAAGAATTTGAACTATCGATCCATCAAGCCAAGTGTCTTATCCTGACCCAAATTTTCCTTGTAGGAACATAAGATTATGAACATTGGCCCCTCCAATTGGCAGAAAACTTGTTTCTTGCCAACAAAGTCAGATGCCCTTGTGGTTGGTTTCAGAAAGTGGTTAAACAAATATGCTGGCGGTCAAGTTGATTGGCGATCCAAGTTCACTGGAGCCCTTCCTCCATCTCCTCCTAGAGAACAGCTCATGGACAGGTAAAATGTGTGGATTTCACTCATGGACAGGTAAAATGTGTGGATTTCAAACAAGGTTTCAAGTTTTTGTTTGATTTAGTTCTTAAATTCTATTGAAGACGGGGAGCTTTTTGTAAAAAAAAAAAAAAAAAAAAAAAAAAAGATTTTTTATAAAATTGAGAAATTTCCACGGCATATTGTAAATCATAGCAATGGAAAAACCATTTGAATCATGGCCTACAATGTTCTAAAAAGTAGGAAAAGAAGAGAAATATGATGGCAACTCCAATCCAAACTTGATGCAAGATCTCGCATTTTCATTTTCTTTAAATTCATGGTTTGTTCAGGTACTGGTCCCATGTGGTGAATTGCCGCAGTTGCAATGCAGCAATGAAAGGCCTCAATGTGCTGGAGGTCGTACTGCAGGTAATCTCTATTGCTTCAATCGGGATTGTGGCTGCAGCCAAGCAGGGCATGCTGTCAGCTGCTGCAAGGAACACTCTGGTCTCCATGGCAGTGTTATGCTTTGTTGCTTCTAAGTGGTTGTCGCGTTTCATCTACAAGAATTTCCATTTCCACGACTACAACCATGCCTTTCGCTGAAACTCATTTTCTACATTTTTTAATGGAATCACCTTATCTACTGTAAATATTACAACATTGTCTCTGTATATGTATGTAATAAGTTGAGGTCAATACATAATTGAATATTTGTATAAAAAACATCCTGAGGAAATAAAAGAACAATCTATAAGTTCTGGTTTTTAAGTTAATTTGTCAGTTGGTGGTATTGTTTTGGCACAATTTTTCCGAAGAAGAACAATGGTATGGGAACCTTTCGATAAATATATTATAGTAGTTGGACTCTCCTTACGTTTGGGTGTACAGAAACCATCTTCTAAAACTTAACTCCGATCACTCAACTGCAGAACCACTACACCTACTAAAACTACATCAATTTTAGCTTTCGAACCAAGGTGCAAGTATATCTTCATCACTAAGCTTTCTGTTCTTCTGAAACACTGCAAAAAATTGCATACATGATTAGTGATTCAGAATCTACACCCCACAAATCCATTCCCCTATGGTTGTTGAAGAACGAACTCCCATCAATTCCACTTGGTAAAGCACTTGTCGTCGAAGAAAGCTCACCTCCTCCAAAACAAGATGTCATTGACCTCAAGATCCATGGCCTCGAGGAGACATAAAATACATCAGAGATGCATGTAGAGGAACTGATTACTTATATTTATACTTTATTTTTTTTGTCTTTTTCTCTGACGTCACTTCCAACGGCTCATATGGTGTTCGAAAGCTACCCATAAAGTATATTTTTTAGTTGAATAACTTTGTTAAAAGGTTTTCCGTTGTATTTGCTCACTATATCTAAATAACCAATGAATTTTTAAATTAAACTTGCAGTTATTACTGGTTACCATTCAATATAGTACAATAAACATACTAACACACATCTTCAAGAAGAGGAGTTGGTTAAATTCTTTTTTAATCCATAGTTGTTGGTTAAATTCAAACCACAAACTTTCGAACACCCATTTTATTCATTTAATTTACATATTTAGCATAGCATACCATCTCTTTCTCTCTCCAGTTTGAGCTTTGAAAGTTGTTAAACTCAAGTTTGCTTTGAGAAACTATTGTAAAAACCAAGCTACCATGGAATCTCCTAGTGCTTCACCTTTTTCTTCATTTCGGATCACAATATTCTCACCAAGACTTCCCAAAACCCAAACTGGGAGAAGACCCATTTTGAATCTTCCCCTCAGTAAAAAAACCCAATTCGTTTCTCTCATCAAATCCCAAAGAGGAATCAAAATTCAAGCTTTTCACTTCCATTTCTCCTACAGTTTCAACTGAATTTGCAGACCCACCCGAAGAAGAAATCAGGATCAGCAACCAGGATGAGAAATTCAATTGGTTTTCGCGGTGGTATCCGGTAATGCCGGTTTGTGATCTGGACAAGAGGGCACCACATGTGAAAAAAGTGACGGGTCTTGATGTCGTGGTGTGGTGGGACAGGAATGAGAATGCATGGAAGGTGTTTGATGATGCGTGTCCTCACAGGTTGGCTCCACTCTCTTAAGGGAGGATTGATCAGTGGGGCAGATTGCAGTGTGTGTACCATGGTTGGTGTTTTGGTGGCTCTGATGACTGCAAATTCATTCCTTAGGCACCCTAGACGGGACCGAAATCCGGCGCTACAGGACATATGTCCAGCGGGTGAGTAAATTAAAAAAGTAAAAATACATAAGGTAAAAAATTAAAAAGGAAAACTTTGTATATACATGCCCACATATATACGAGATCAATCAAAACCAGATCAACTTCTTGTTCTCCTTTTTTTTCTCTCTATAATTTCTTTGTATACAAACATTTCCCTAACCTACAACTTGTTGTATATCTTAACTTACATCCCAATTTTCACCTTACCAACATCTTACTTATTGTACAAATACATAAATAAACATATCTTGATACAAATTATATATCACAACATTTTCTTACCCTATATCACAACTTTTCCCTTATCAACATCCCAACTTTCTCTTTACCAACATCACACTATTCATCTCTTTATCTTGTTTGGGACGTACGAAATATTGAGATGCTAGTAAGGATAAAGTTGGATGTACATTAAAAAAATATTGTGATGCAAAACCAAAATAAACATATCTTGGTACAAATTTTATATCACAACATTTTCTTAACCTACATCCCAACTTTCTCCTTACCAACGTACGTCACACTATTCACCTTTTTATCTTGTTTGGGATATATGTTAGAAAAATGTTGGGATGCTAGTAAGGAGAAAGTTGTGATACACATTAAGAAAATGTTGTGATGCAAGACCAATGTTTCAAAATTTTCCTAACATGTATCACAAACAAAAGAAAGATATGGTTGGGATATTGGTGCAAACTGATATATATACATCAATATGTGTTTATGTGTGTATATATATATGTATAAAAGGTTTTGTCATACTCGAATGAAGTTATCCAATTTCAGAACCGTGGAGATCGTCTTCCCACTAATCAATTGCAAAACCATAGTTATTTAGCTATCCAATTTGAGAACCATGGAGATCTTCTTCGCACCAATCAATAGCAAAACCAGAGATATAACACTAACAAAAATGATTCAAACACATATACCCCGAATCAATCAATCGACACCAAACTAGAGATTTTGATAAGATAATGCTAAGAATTTAGGGTTTTGGGAAGAAAGAAAGAAAAAGCGTCGTCTACTGAAATTTGGTATTTTGTATAAAGTATTATACTTGTAGTATGCAGTAACAAATTTTAACCCATCCCCACTTATGCGACGTGGCGTTACTAGAACCATAGATCAGTCACCGGCTGGGACATATTCTCTGTGGTGCTGGAGAGGATTTTTATCCCCCTAGACGATACACTGGTATTAAATCTTGAAAAAAGAAAAAAGAAAAAAGAAAATGAAATGCATGTTTGGATTAGTTTTCTGAAAATAATTCTTAAAAGCTCGGAAAACATAAAACGGTTTGTTGAGTTTCAATTCTCAGAAAACTGAACTTTAGTAAAGAGTCTTGAAGAAGTTTACGAAAATGTCATTTTCATTGATATAAGTTTACAATATTTATACAAAGGATTATAGATTATACAAGAAAATAATAAGCAATACACAGAAAGAATTAATAATGAGTCAAATTAATAAAGAGTTGTTATAATCATGGAGGAGCAGTCGGTCAAGAGCGATTGTGGGAGATATTATTAGAGGAATGATTATGTTGCCTAATATGCCCCCGCAAGATGGCGTTCCGTCAAAAATACCAATATTGGATCGGAGATCAACGAACCGTTGCTTGGAGAATGGTTTGGTGAGAACATTAGCAAGTTGGTCGTGGGTGAATACATGAGCAACTTGAAGAGTATCATTGGCGACTTTGTCACGAATAAAATGGTAATCGATCGCGATATGCTTCATACGTGAATGGAAAACATGATTAACACATAAGTATGTCGCACCGAGGTTGTCACAGAGGAGCTGAGGCTTGGTAGAAGAGAGACTCCATGTTCAAGCAGTAAATTTTGTAAACATGAAATTTCGGCAGCAGTAAATGCAACGGCTAGGTACTTGACCTCGGTAGAGGAGCGAGCAACCGTTTATTACTTCTTGGAGGAGGAGCGAGCAACCGTTTGTGACTTCTTGGAGCACCAAGAGATTGGGTTACCACCGAAATAAATGATAAAGGCAGAGATCGATGTATAATCGTCACGATACTTGCCGAATCAGCGTCGGAATAGGAAACAAGATCGAAGCCGGCATGACGTTGAAGATGGAGACCATGGTGGAGCGAGTTCTTTAGATATCGGAGCATGCATGTACTGCGCTAACTTGTTCACCGAGTAAACAATATTCAGGCGTGTTTAGGAGAGATATTGAAGAGCGCCAATAACGCTCCGATATTGAGTGATGTCGGTAGAGGGACTGTCATCCCGCAAGACTAGTTTGGCGGACATAGACATTGGTGCGGTAGCTTCTTTAAACCCTGCCGGCTTGACTCACTCAAGTAAGTCGCGGATGTACTTGTGTTGGGATAGGAAGAGCCTTGTTTTGGTTAGGATGACTTCAACACCAAGGAAAAAATGAAGATCACCAAGGTCCTTAATGGAGAATTTTTTAGAAAGAGCCTTGACGAAATCTGAAATGAATTTATTAGAATTCCCTGTGACAAGAAGATTGTCAATATGGACTAAAAAATAAACAGTAACCGAGTTGGAACGATAGATAAATAGATAGATAACCGAGTTTGTGAAACTATATGAGATAACAAATGATTTTAACTCTTGATACCAAGCTCTTGGTGCCTGTTTAATTTCTTTAAGAGCCTTGTGAAGCCTACAGACATAAGAGGGATGAGATTTGTCAACAAATCCAGGAGGTTGAGACATGTGCACCTCTTCTGACAAGCAACTATGCAAAAAAGCATCATTGATGTCTAGCTGATGGACGCGCCACCCATTGTTAAGAGCAAGAGATAAAACAAGTTGAATTGTAGTCGACTTAACGACTGAACTGAATGTGTCATGATAATCGACTCTTGGACGCTGATGAAAGCCCTTGGCAACAAGGCGGGCATTGTATTGAGCGATGCTATCATTAGGATTTCGCTTGATTCTGAATACTCACTTGCAACCAACTATATTCTGACCCGATTAAGACGGAACAAGACTCCAACTGCCATTCTAAAGAAGAGCGTTGAGTTCATCATACATAGCATATTTCCACCTTGAATCTTTAAGGGCTTTGGAGACACAAGTGAGTTCAAGGGAGTCAGGTAGGGATGCTTTGGGGTGATATTGATGGTTTTGGGTTGGAAGATTTGATTCTTGGATCGTGTGGTCATTGTATGTTGATTGAGGTCAGATGGTGGCTTATGAATCTGCGAAAGGGAGGTTAGGTAATCAGACTTTGGGTGCGTAAAATTCTTTTGCATAGGAGTAGGAATAGACGTGTTTGAGATGACCATATCAAGATCCACTATTAACGTCACCGTGAAAGCATTAGACTTGGTTATGGACGGACTAGAATTGGAAGGAAAAGATTGAGGGTATGGGGAGGCTCTGATATGAGGATCACGTGAAGACGTTGACTCAACTAATGTGGGAAGTGGTGAAGAGCTGTATCTTGTTCTTGAGAGGATAAGTTGGACGCCAAATTAGTAGAGAGTAAATCGCCACGATTTAGGGAGTGACTATGGACGGGATTCAAA